TGGTAAACTGAAGGTTGTTGGAGGGCATTAGTAAACTGAAGGGCATTAGGACAGCCCGTGGTGGCTGTCTCAGGGGTGTTTGTCTTTTCAGCTCTCCTGTAGAGGAACCTTAGCCCGAGGTACCTGTGTGTGGAAGTATAGCCTTCCCCAGGATTTCTGTGTCTGCAGCAAGAAGCCATGGATTAGATAACCGATAAGGTTCACTCAGTGAGAATTGGGTTTCTCCACTTTGCCTGCCCCCAAACTTCTAATAGCTCCTGACTTGCTTCCAAACCTCTGACCCGCTGACTTAGAGCTTGTCTTTACTGATACACTGGACAGTTTCTTTGGGCAACCCGCAGCTTGTCCTGAGCAAAGCTTAGTGCCATTGAGCAACTTAAACCAATCAATTGTTCCAACTTGTTCTGTGACCTCTCCCTTTGTGGGGTTGGTCTACCCGAGAAAATTTCATTTGACCCAAAGTGTTTAAAAAAAAAAAATAGGAGCCAGACAATGGTGGTGCGTGCCTTTAACCCCATTTACAGGCGTGGGCAGAAGCAGAGGCAGGTGGGTCCTGTGAGTTCAAGGCCAACCTGGTATGCATTCTGTGCATTTCTTTGTGAGTTCCAGGAAAGCCAGGGCCACACAGAGAAACCCTGTCTTGAAACAAAACAAACAAACAAAAAAATACTTTGAAAAGATATTTTCAGCTTTTGCCAGGGGTGAGCATCTGCAGGTATAAAAATACAAGGAAACGGGAAAAACAAGTTGGAGCACTTACTGTAGAGACGTTGTGCAAGGACAGCAGCTCCTGGAGGTGGGTTGGGCAGAGTGTAAAACTGGAGATGGCACTTTGAGATTAGCCTGCTTCTCCCTGTGCAGGAAAAGGCGCCTCTGGTGGTGGGATTCTACCATCACTGGTGACGGCAAAGAGTGTAAGCCCCATGATAACGGTTTTCTTTGTTTCAAGGCTAGGTGCTGTACCTAGACACAATGCACACCTCAAGCTGAGGTTGAATTAGAAGGAACAGCTTGTTGTGAGAGGCGACAAGGCTCAACCATGTCACCTTCTATTCTACTTCGAATGGGTTAATTAAATTTCCTCAGCAGAAAACACTGATAATCCTATCTACGGGGGTGGTGCTAAATACACATGATTAGACTGCTTGGCACAGGGCAGACACTCAGCAGGTGAAATTCCCTTTCCTTCTCAGATGTTGATGACTTCTGTCACATTGGTAGACTGGCTGGATGTGGGTCCAGCCTGGCTGTCCACATGTGAATGTGTAATGAAGGCAGAGAGGGTTTCTCTTCCTCCTCCTCCTCTGACTTTTTTTTTTTCTTCTTCTTTTTGGTTTTTTTTGAGTCAGGGTTTCTCTCTGTAGCTCTGGTTGTCCTGGATTCGCTTTGTAGAACAGGCTGGCCTCAAAGTCACAGAGATCCTCCTGCCTTTGCCTCCCAATTGCTGGGATTAAAGGTGTGTGTGGAAAAAACTGCCCAGCTCATTGCAGTGTTTTACTCACTACAAATAGCAAGAAATTGATTTTGGTGAGAAAAAGTGTTTTTCCCAACCTTGGAGCTTTTTATTGGCTTTGACTTCAGGTGGCCAGGGTGGAGAAGATGGGGTTCCCATAACCCTGTTGCTCTGCCTTGTTTCTCCCGAGGAAGGCAGAGATTGGGAGCACCTGGCCTGCTCTGTGCTGCTCCTTTCTTTCTGTATTCTCAGGGTGCAGAATGTTTCCTTAACTATCTGGGCGTGTGTGTGTGTGTGTGTGGGGGGGATGGTGGTGGTGGTGATGGTGGTGTTAAATGTAGTCACTAGTCACAAGGTTTTGCTGGCATCCTTTTAATGAGTATAATTAAATATTGAATAAAATTTGTCCTCATCATGATTACTTCTTGTATGTTCTTTTGAAATAATATAACACATTTTGACATTTCAGAAAAGGTTCCATTTGTTGGTTTGTTTTTGTTTTTGTAGTTTGTTGTTTTATATTTTATTATATATATATATATATATTTGGCAGGGCTTAGCTATATAGCCCTGGCTCTGTGAGTTCAGGCTGGCCTCGAACTCATAGAGGTCCATCTGTATCCCAAGCACTGCTACGCCCAGCTCCAGTTTTTTATTTTTTTTCTTTTCAATTGGAATATGTACGCTGTGCATCCTGCAAAATTAATTATTCTATTCTTTAAACTTGTTTGTGAGATATGTTTTTGAGATAAACTTTTGAATTTAATCTCAAGAGTGAGTCTGAGGCATTCCTTGGTTGGCTGGACTCTGCTGTGTGGATTTCCATTTCCTTTCTCTATCAATTCATTTCCATGCTTGAAGAACCTGAGTAGGGCTTACCAGAGGTTGGTAAGCGGCAAGCCCAGCATATATGGCCCTGGGAATTATGACTAACTGAGCTTTTCTTCTCCCAAGATCTTATTTTGTGTTTTCACTCAACTTTGTTTTGCCTCTACTTTCCCAGGAAATCATTTTACAGCAAGCTCCGGGCCTCTTTTTATCAAATTTATTCATTTGTGTTTATGTGTGTGAGAGTGTGTGTGTGTGTGTGTGTGTGTGTGTGTGTGTGTGTTTGCGCGCCCCTGTGTGTGGCCCTTGCGCCACAGTGTGTGTGTACTTCCGAGAACAGCTTGTGGGACTTGGTGCCCCCCTTCCACCATGTGGGTCCCAGGGACTTAACTCAGGCTGTCAGGTTCCTGACTTATGCAGACACTGGGCCAGGCTTCTGAGCAAGGCTCCCCATGTTAGCATTTTTTATTAGGTCTAGGTCTAGTTATCCAGTCCCCTGAGACACAGCTTCCTCATTTCTGAGAGAGGCGTGTGCCTAGGAAGTGATCTGTCACTTGAGCGTGGTTAGCAGCCCAGTGCGTGTTGGAAGCTTGTGAGACGTGCCCTTGTTTCCAGAAGTTAAGAGATAAGTGAGTGAGCCATTGCTGTGAGCAAGTGATTACATGACCATGAGTAGGTGCTCTGGCTGGAGGTTTGTAGGGAAGGATGTGGGAGATGAGAGAGGTTTGTACCTCATCCTGCAGGGACTGGAGTGAAAGGCTCCAGGAGGTGGCTGCACTTGAACTAAGATTTGGAGCCCTATGAGGGATTAGCAGGCAAAGAAAGGGGGTAGGGCATTCCAGGCAGCAGGAAGCCAAAAGGACTAGAGCTCTGGTAAAGTTCCTGCTAGAGGGGAAAGGAAGGGGAGTGGTCCTGGAGAAACGTAAAACAGGCTTTTAAGAAAAGGAAGCCTTTTATAGTTCTGATGAGATCTCTAGAATCAGAGCCCGCCTTTGACTTGGCAAAGCATTTGCCTGAGAGGGTTTTGTGTTCCCTTGTAAGGAATTCAGTGGGAGCCAAGAATGGTTCCCACCCTGGCCCCCTGTGGTGGATTCTAAGTACACTCCCTGGAAACCCACCTGCTGGCTTGGCAGTGGCCCTGAATTCCACTTTCAGAGGGAAATGATCCCGTTCCTTCCTAACCGTGAATATAAAACAATCAAGAAAAGCAGAGAACACAAGATAGAAGCTGTACAACTGGATCTAAAGGATTTCCTTGTATCCAGTATATTATGTTTTACTGTGTTCAAAAGACATTGCGGTAGGTAGGATTCTCCATGTCCTTTAATCATTTAACTGTCCTTATGAAGTGAGTAATTGTATGCAGATGAGGACACTGAGATCTGCAGGAGTCCAAGCAGCCTGGTGTCATTCTTTTCTTTCTTCCTTCCCTTCTTCTTTCCCTCCCTCCCTCCTTCCTTCCCTCCCTCCCTTCCTCCCTCCCTCCTTTCTCTTCCTTCCTTCCTTCTTTCCTTCCTTCCTTCCTTCCTTCCTTCCTTCCTTCCTTCCTTCCTTCCTTCCTCTCTCTTTCTCTTTCTCTTTCTCTTTCTCTCTTTTCTTTATAAAGCAGGCTGGCCTCGAACTCACAGAGATCCGCCTGAGTGCTGGGATTACAGGCGTGCTCCACTACACTGGCACCATTATTCATTTTAAAGATTAACTTTTTGGGGCTGGAGCGATGGCTCAGAGGTTAAGACCATTGGCTGCTCTTCCAAAGGTCCTGAGTTCAATTCCCAGCAACCACATGGGGGCTCCCAAGGCTCCCAACCATCCATAATGTTGTCCTCTTCTGGCATGAAAGCATAGTCTTAAAAAAAAGATTAACTTTAGTGTGTGTGTGTGTGTGTGTGTGTGTGTGTGTGTGTGTGTATAGTAAGTCTTAAAAAAAGATTAACTTTAGTGTGTGTGTGTAAGTATGTATGTGTGTGTGTAAGTATGTAAGTGCTCACATAGCATGTCTCTGACAGAGGTCAGAAGATAGTGTTCGATCCTTTGGCGGGGAATTAGTAATGGTTGTGAGCTGCCTGGCAAGGGTGTTGGGCACTGAATTTGGTTCCTGTCATCCATATCAGAAAATGAGCTGGTTCTCCTAACATGGATGGGGTGGATGAGTGTGAGAAAATTACTGTAGCTAATTATTTCACATTATTTTACATTCTGAGCTAAACAACTATTAGATATTTTACATGTGATAACTTTCCCTGATATCTTTACTGAATGGAAAAAAAGAATAAAAAAGAAAGGACATGACTGCTCCTAGGTTTGGTGGAAGAGAAGTTTTACTGTTGATATATGGGGAGACATAGCCAGAGGCCCACACATCTGGGAGAGTCCAGAGTGGTCACGACCCTAAAACCATATAGGGACAGGGTGTGGAAGAGGGAGGGAGCCAAATACAGCAGCCAGGCGGCCAAAGGTACAAAAGGAGGGGCAGATAACCAAAATGACTGGATAATTTAGGGAAGAGCCCCTGGGGAAAGGGCAGCCCAGCCCCTGGGCTGGAGAGTTCAGGGGAAGAGGGTGGGGTATACTAGCCATGCCCTGTAAAAGATAGGGACTGAGGGATGCTGGGAGAACCTCGAGGCCAGGTACACTTTGTATGTTAAATAGGCATCTCAGCTGTTTGTCCTGGGTTTGAAATTTAACATTTACTCCTTTCCATTATGACTTTTTTTTAAAGGTTAAAAACGTGTCTGCAGGCACACAAGACTTGCCTCCCCCACCATCTGACTATGTGGAAAGAGTTGACAGTCCCGTGGCCTACTCCTCCAACGGCAAAGTGAATGACAAGCGGTTCTACCCAGAGTCTGTCTATAAGTCAACGCCTCTGTAAGTAGCACCTCAGTGAAAAGACTGAGCAGTGCCATTGTTCTTGAGAAAGTTATCTACCGGCACCCGTAAAAGCCGGACACAAATCCTTTCCCGCTACAGTGATCCTGGCTTTGCTGCTTGAGGCTACGTGCTGGTTGGAAAAGCAGGATGGGGAGGATGCGATTCCCTTGCATTTGCTAGTTATATTGAAAGGCAAGGTGGCTTTTCACTAGGAGTAGCGTTCAGTGTGCTGCTCTCGTCTCCGTTTGGAATGGAAATGAGTGTGGAAGTTAACTGAGCAGAGGTGTGTGAGGCGCCTCGTTCTCCTGCTGCCTGTTGTTATTGGGTCTCATGAACAGACAGGAAAGGTTGCCTGTCCATTCAACTATAAAACACTATTTGAATTCCAGAATTTGGGTTATTCATCTGCTTTTCACCGTTTAACCAACTACCCAAGGCATGTTACCTTTCTAAACCTCACAGGTGTGGAGTTAGGGACAGCACCTGCTTGGCTTTGGTGAGGGCCTCATGTGATGAGACCGTAATGGCAGGCTCATGTGTCAGGACCGGCAGCTGGAGAGGGAGCCACAGCTGTGGAAGCACCTTAATCCTCTTGAAGGGAAATGCTTCTCCTGATCTTAACAACCTCCCAGCAGGCTCCACTGCTTCAAGGCCCATAGTGCTACCCAACATCACCATGTTAAGGAGGGGACACTGGGACCACAGCCAGACCAAAGCATCTCATCGTGCTTTCCACGTTTGCTGGGACACGAGAAACCTTACAGTTAATGTGTGCTGTTTCCCAACCATACTCACCTGACTCTGTCCTGAGGTAGCTATAATGTCATGCATAGCACCCATCTATTAGTTTAATCTTTAAGAAAATAAGATTTATTTTAGGAGTTAGGAGAGGAATAGGGGGTGAATACGATCAAAATGTATTGTATGAAACTCTTAAAGAATTACTACTTCTTTGATAATGTTTTAAAAAGATTTATTTTATTTTAAATTACCCATGTGTCTGTGTGTGGGTTTGTACACATGAGTGCAGGTGCCCATGGAGGCCAGAAAGGGTCAGATTGCGCGTAGTTGGAGTTACAAATGGTTGTGAGCTTCCTGATGTGGGTGCTGGGGACTTGACATTGGTCTTCTGGAAGAGTTCTTGCAGAGCTTAACCGCCGAGCCATCTCTCCAGACCTGGGTATCGTTCCTTCTCCTTCACTGATAGGGCGTCATAGAAAAGGAGGGTTCCAGTAAATCTGTTTCCAGTCCTATGTTGTCCTGAACACCAGTCTTTTGTACAGTGCTGAGCTGAGTGCTGCTGGGATTACAACTCCATGTTCTCATAGAGGTTGCCAAACAAAGGTGGGCAAAATGCACTAGAGTTCCTTTAAGAGCACAGCAGGAGCAGTGAAGGCAGGTGAGGGGAGTGTGTCAGGAGGAAGTCCGAACTTACAGAAGGTGACCTTCTACAGGAGACAGAGGGAAGTTGAGAGCACCTGTCTGTGGGTGAAGAGGGCCTCTTCCGGGTGGGTTGTACATGCTTTGACTTCATAGCACTTGTCTCCTGAAGCAGGTTGTTGAAAATATAGTTATGGAACTGTATTTTATAACTCCTGACTTGTAAGCACTTTTTATGCTAAGCACTGAGTTTTAAGCTTTATCTAGATCAAATATGTAGTATTTTAATGGGTGTAGGAAAAGGAGAGGTGTCCCTTTCATTCAGAAACCTTCCAAGATAAAGATTTGTCTGTTTGTTTTTCAAGATAGGGTTTCTTGTAGCCTTGGATGTCCTGGACCCACTTTGTGGACCAGGCTGGCCTTGAATTCACAGAGATCCACCTGCTTCTGCCTCCCTGAGTGCTGGGATCACAGGCGTGCTCCACCTCACCTGGCTCGAGATAAAAGATTTATAATGACAGTATTTCCTTCCGTTTGTTCTTCAGCCTCCTCCATTTTTTGCTGCAGGTCTTAGGGTCACCATTGCTGTGATGAGACACCATGATTAAAGCGTCTTGGGCAGGACGGCTTTATTCTGCTCACAGCTCTTCTCCACAGTGGTTCATCGTCAAAAGCAGTGGGGCAGGAGCCTGGAGGCAGGAGCTGATGCGGAGCCGTGGGGGGTGCTGCGTACTGTCCTGCTTCCCATGGCTTGCTCAGCCTGCTCTCTTATAGAACCCACAATGGACTGGGTCCTCCCCTATCAATGACTAATTTAAAAAAATGTTTCATCAGGAAACACCATGACCAAAGCAAATTGGGGAGGAAAGGGTTTGTTTCACTCACATTCCATATCAGAGTTCATCATCAAAAGCAGAGAGGGCAGGAACCTGGAAGCAGGAGCTGATGCAGAGCTCTTTAAATAGGCCAAGCCACATTTAAAAGACTTTATTTTAAGCCTGACGTGGTGGCACATACCTATCATACTAGCCCTTGGGGAAATGGAGGCAGGAGGATCAAGAGTTTAAGGTTATCCTCAGCAACATTGTGAATTTGAGGCCTGGGCTACATGACACCCTGTCTCAAAAACAAACAAATCCCTTCCAAACAAAGAATAATGACGAAGTTTTATTTTACTGCCCCAAAGCAAAGAGCACATATAGGAGCTGGCATTGTGGGTAGAATGTCTAAGAACTTGTTAAGCTTTGATGCTCATGGAAGCATAACACATACAGATAGCTTGGCTGAATTTAGAAGAAATGAATACTGTCCCCTTTAAGCCTCCCTCCCCCTCATTTCCCCAACTACACATCATTCCCTAAAGCTTTAGTAAGAGCTCAAGTGTGGTTAGAGTGCTAAGGTTCTGACAGTAGTGAGAACCAGTGGCCCCAGAAAACAGTAAAACTGGGAGATAAAACTTAGCTTCTGGATTCTGTAAGTTGGAAGCAATAGAAAGTGGGAGAAAGCTCTGGACACTTAATAGCTGGTTTAAACAGAAAGGCGGTAGCGTAGAAAGCCTCTGCCTTTTTCTTTGTTCACTTCTGTTCTTACCGTTTACAGAGCAAAATAAAACCTTCTGTTACTCAGAAGCAGTGTAGGCTTGTCCCAACCTTTGCTTTTTTTTTTTTTTTTTTTTTTTTTTTTGCTGTGTTAGGCTTTGTTTCTGTGCTCATGGCAGGAACATTATATGCAATTTAACGTCTGATGTTAACACGAAATAATTAGAAACAATGTGTTATGGTAAACCTCTTTTTAATTCTACATGGCTTTAAGTTCAACACAGAAAGAGTTAAAAAATACTTAATAAATTCCTTCCTTTGAAAGGTTGAGGGTTTAGGCAGGTCTCTCTGTGTAGCCCACCTGTGATGACACAAAGATTTCTCCTGTGTCAACCCCTTGAATGTTGGAATGACAGGCATTTGTTACTACACTCAAAACCATGAAGCAGTTTAGTTTAAATTTTACAGTTTTTCAAACTTCCACCCCTGCCCAAAATGATAATCTGTGTATGGTAACATACAGTTAATGTTGCAAAGAGCCTATCTCTGTTGGATAAGCTGCATTTTTCGTCCTCACACAGCATTCCCAGGGAATGGAAGGACTTGTAGAGAAGAACTGCCCATTATTTCCCTGACAAGGCTTTTGTAGAGTAAGTCTCAGGCACAGGGCAGATGAACACGTGTTTCTTAGGGCTTTAGTCTGAACTTCCTAAAGGAAGTGTGAGATCCATTCTACTTAGAGCTTCAACGTGGCCTCCCCCTTCCCAGTTAGAGCTTCAGAGCTGCTTGTGTTCGCAGGTTCTGAATTGGTGTCAGACTGAATGCAGGAAGCCAGGCTTGTGCTCAGTGCGAGGGTGGACTCCTCGGATGAGTACCCTTGGGTGTGGGTGTCTGTCAGTGCTGGCCTTGATGTCCTTTTGGCTGGAGGGTGCTGGCAGGGTCGAAGTGTACCAGCTGGTCTCTGATTAGCGACCTGTGTCTCCACTAGGGTGCCTGAGGTGGCTCAGGAGCTTCCTCTGACCTCACCTGTGGATGACTTCAGGCAGCCTCGGTACAGCAGCAGTGGTAACCTAGAGACACCTTCAAAAAGGGCTCCCACGAAAGGAAGATCGGGGAAGTCGAGGAGAGCAGACCCAGACCACTACGAAACAGACTACACGACAGGTGGCGAATCCTGCGACGAGCTGGAGGAGGACTGGGTCAGGTAGGGTCTTTCTCCTCTGGAGCTCCTTAAGCATTCTGGTTGTCATCATGGTTGACGGGTCAGGTTTGGGGGGTTGCCTTGGAAACTGGGGTCATGTTGCCATCTTATTTTTTGCTATCCAGGCCTGGAGACAGTTTCAGGGATTGTGTTTTCCTTCCTTCCTTCCTTCCTTCCTTCCTTCCTTCCTTCCTTCCTTCCTTCCTTCCTTCCTTCCTGATTTATTTATTATTTATACAGTATGATGTCTGCATGTGTGCCAGCAGGCCAGAAGAGAGCACCAGATCTCATTACAAATGGTTATGAGCTACCATGTGAGTTCTGGGAATTGAACTCAGGAACTCTGGAAGAGCAGACGGTACTCTGAGCCATCTCTCCAGCCCAGTTATGTTTTTCTTTGGTGCCCTTTTATAAAACAGAAGTACAGGCTGTAACCATGTCTATCTCACACATATTTCTCCCTGAAATGGCTCTTCTACCAATAGATACTCAAAGAACGCTTTCAAAGAAATAAAACTTGAGGGGCTGGAGAGATGGCTAGGTGGTTAAGAGCACTGCTTTTCTAAAGGACCCGGGGTTCAATTCCCAGCACCCACATGGTAACTCACAACTGTCTATAACTCCTGGTCCAGGGGACCTGACCACCTTACACATGCAGACAAAACACCAATGTACATAAAAAAAAAAAAAAAACAGTATAAAAAAATAAAACATGAGTTTAGGGGAATTGTGGGACCCTGCTATTGTGTTGGACTGATTATAAGGTTTCCAAGTCACACAGACTTTTCTTTGGCAATTACATTCAAGTTATGCTTTCATGGTAGGCCCAGAGTTTCTTTTAATGTTTAATCCAAAAAACTCTGGCAACAGTTTTGTAAGCAGTTGTGGTAACAGTGTAGTGTTGCAGCCAAGGTCATGGTTAAGGTCTTTGTGTCAGTGACTGGCTTTGGTTGCTGCTGCTGCTCCTCCCTTTTTCTCTTCTCCTCCTTCCCCTCTTCTTTTCTTCTTCTTCTTGACAAGGTTCCCTATATAGCCCTGGCTGTTCTGGAACTAGCTCTGTGGACGAGGCTGGCCTTGAACTCAGAGCTTTACCTGCCCCCGCCTCCCAAGTGCTGGGACTAAAGGTGCGCCCCCACCACCCAGCTCCTCAAAAGATTTTTGCAGCACGGATGGTGGTTTATAAACTTTGCTTCTCAAGTAGTTAGGAGATGTGGGTGGGACATGGATGGCTTGGCATTCCTTACTTAGGAACTGCTTTTTTGTTTTCTCCTTTTTTGGGGGTTTTCAAGTCAGGGTTTCTCTGTGTAGTCTTGGCTATCCCGGAACTCACTCTGTATAGACCAGGCTGGCTTTGAACCAGAGATCCACCTGCTTCTTCCTCCCCAGGGCTGGGATTAAAGGTGCGCTCCACCTCTCCTGACATCCCTTGCTTATGATTCTTCGACCTTGTATTCCTTACCCACAAGAGTCTTTCTGTCCCGGCGAACTCATCTATCTGTATCTAACTTGTATAATGGAACATTTAACTGAAAACTCTGAGAAATCCCAAGTTTTTGTTTTCTCTTTTAATCAAAAGAAATTTTTTCCCCTGTAAAATGAAGGCACTTTATTGACTCTCAGGACTAAAATTTAAGCCCCACGTTCCATGGAGCTTCATCGTCCTGTGAAATAATGTCAAGAAATTTCTTAGTGGATGCTTGCATGTGTCAGCTTCATATGCAAGGCATATTCAGAAATGTCTTTTATTTGAGGTGGGGCACTGCATGAGTGTGTGTGTGTGTGTGTGTGTGTGTGTGTGTGTGTGTGTGTGTCAGAGGACAGTCTGAGGGAGTCAGGGTCGCTTTTCTCTTTTCACCATGTGGGTCCTGAAGATCAAACTCATGTCTCTAGGTTTGGAGGCTGCGCTTCTGTCCGCTGAGCCATCTCGATGGCCTCGGAATTCCAGCATCAGCTCGTCATACTTTCATGAATTGCCAAATTATTTGCGCAATGAACATGTTTTTATAGGTGTGCTTTTTTTTTTCCAGTGCTGGAGAGTGAACCTAGGGTGTCACACACACTAAACATGCACATTAGTCCTCAGCGACGCCTCCAGCCTCTGTGTGTACATTTTTAATGCATACTTTTGTAATGAAGAACAAGATAAGCTCTTCTCACTTGGGAATAATAAGACAAAAATAAATAAATAAGCTAGTCTGAAGATGGTAGGTGGTAGCGGGAAACAGCCACTCCCAGCCAGCTGTTCCGAGGTAATGAAAACAGGCTTTGTGTTCCAGCATTCGTTTTAAGATTTTAAACATAAGTGTTCCAGTGCTGTGTAGTATCACTAGTGAGAATCAATGCATTCTTACTCATCGAAACCTTAAATTTAACGACTTTAGCCTTTACTTGTAAAAAATGTGAGGCGTATTTATATAAAATGAATGGTAATATAAAAAGTATAAGCATTTGTATGTGAGTGGCAGTAGGATTTGAACCCAGAACCTCTTACGTGGTGTAGGAACTGAGCTGTGTCTTCAGGTCTAAAATCATTCCAGAGACCTTGTCCAGCAGTTTTAGCAAGGGAACACAGCGGTGTGACCAAATGATGCTCCCCTTTGCACAGGGCATCCTTTTTGACAAGCACATGGCTTTGGGAAGGATGTGTTTGGAATGGTGAAGGAAGGAGGGAATGTCCACATAGTTGGCCGCTTCAGGCTGAGCACCCCGACAGCCAAGGAGTGACAGGTGCTATAGGCCGATCACCCTTATGTTTTCTCTAATAGTTCTTAGTAGAAATTAATTGGACCCCACCTCTGTCTCAACAGAAAACAAGAGAATATGGCTTTACACTCCCTATCACTGTGCTGTCTTTGAGGGAAACTGCTGGCTTTTGATACGTGCACAGAGTGCTTGTGTGATCACTTTCTCTTCTGATTCAGGGAATATCCACCCATCACTTCAGATCAACAAAGACAGCTCTACAAGAGAAGTTTTGACACAGGCCTGCAGGAGTACAAGAGTTTACAAGCGGAGCTGGACGAGGTCAATAAAGAGCTCTCTCGTCTAGACAGAGAACTGGATGACTACAGAGAAGAAAGTGAAGAGTACATGGCAAGTTCAGATCCAATTTGCTTTGTCTGCTTTTCAGTCTTGTGTTTTGTTTTTTAAGATAGGCTTTCACACTCACTATCTGCCTCAGGCTGACCTCGTAGTCACTGTATACCTGAGGATGACGTCGAATTCCTGACACTTTTTCCTCCACCTCCCAAGTACTGGGATTTTAGGCATGAACTTGTTTGGCTTCATACCTCCTAAATGTTGGGGTTACAAGTTATGTGCCACTGTGCGTGGCTTCAACACACACACACACACACACACGCATACACACATATACAAAAATAAATAAATTTAGAAGTTACAAAGCAATAATCTGGATACATAAATGTATTCTTTCTTATTTAAAAGAAAATGGCTATATTAATTTTTCTGCTTATAAATACAATTCATTTTTACTGTAAAAACCTCAATTCAGGATTGCTCACATAAAAGTATATCCCTTGGGTGGGGCTTTTGTCACATGATTTTAATCCCAGGACTTGGGAGACAGGGGCAGGATCTTTGTGAGGTTGAAGGCATTCTAGTCTACATATTGAGTTCTAGGCTAGCCAGGGCTACATGGGGAGTGGGGTGGGAAAATTTTTTCCCCCTTAAATTTCTACCAGAACAACTTTGTTACCAAGCGAGTACCAGGAGTTCAGGTAGGCAGACACAATCTTCAGTAAGGATTTGTTTTGAACAGTTAAGAGTACTGGCTTGTCTTCCAGAAGACTGGGGTTAAATTCTTAGAATCCACTTGGCAGCTCACAATCATCCGTAATCCCAGTTCTGGGGTTTCTGATACCCTCTTCTGGCTGACATAAAGACCACGAACAAGTGATGCTCAGACTTACCTGCAGGCAGAGCACTGGCACACATGGTAGTCCATGGGTTGTCCAAGCTAATCCCATCACTTGGGAGGCAGAGGCACAGGCAGGGGATGGCTGTGAGTTCGAGGCCAGCCTGGTTTACAAAGAGAGTTCAGCACAGCCAAAGTAGAGTTTGTTACACAGAGAATCCCTGTGTTGAAAAGAAGAGGAGGAGGAGGAGAAAAAGAAGAAAAAGAAAAAAAAAAAAACATCATTAAACAGGCACTCAAAGCATTTACCAAAAATTGACTGGGGAAGTTCCTTTAGAGGCAGCCAGCTGGAGTTTCTGACAGAGTCCCCTTGAGTTAGGCTTTCAAATATGAGAACCAATAACAGCAAGAAGGTAACATCGAATTGGGGGCTTGCAAGCATCCATTGGGAACTGACTGGGGAAGCCTCTTTAAGGCTGTTTTTCCCAACTGAGCGTTCTCTTCACCCATGGACTTCCCGTGGCTGGACCTCAGCTTCTGGTGCCCACTGTGGACGTTTTTCTATCTTGAGGTAAACAATAGTAGCCTCTGTTAGAACTGCTCTAGCAGTTATCAAGGACACAGCGTTGTTATCCTGGCTGTTTCGCTATTCTCTTCCTTCCCTGTCAGAGAGTAGAAGGCAGCTGAGTCCATTCCCACATAAGGGGTTTTGGAGGACCCTTGACACAAGCATGCTTGGGTCTGAAGAGGCAACCCTGCTTCCAAGCCAGCTTCTCAGTGAGCTCATATAGCACGTGACAATTAACCGGTATAACGCACATTACAGTAGCTCACATTGTTCTTATCTGACCACAGGGATGGCTTTGGTTGCTTCCGGTGCACCTTTACCTTCATCTGATGGGTTCACGTCTCTTTTTGAAAATCATGAGACAAGGCCTCATAGGTTGCTGTGCAGCACAGGTGGACTTGAAGTCGTCTCGCTCAGTGCTAGTATTATGGGCGTGCGTCATCACCCCTGGCTTCCCTGCTTTTTTTTTTTTTCTTTTGCAGACAGACAACATGCTAGGCAAGCTCTATACCACTGCTGCTTAAACACCATGATCTAGCACTGCTTATTTCCTGCTCCTTTACATAGAAGTTGTTTGTGGCTACTGTTTTGTATCAGTAATAAAAGTGTGCTTTTAGTGGCCCAGGATCTGGCTCTGTAGCATAGGCTGACCTCGAACCCTGAGTTCTTCTGCCTAAGCCTGCTAGTGCTGGGATCTCAAGTGTGTGCCATCATGTTGGGCTTTTTTTTTTTTTTTTTTTTTTTAATGTTTAAGCATAAAAGTAGCTACAGAATTTTCAATTTTATGGTTGTACCATAATTTATTGAAGGATATATAATGCTCTGGAACTATGGTAGTACAGCAAGATACTGGCAGGCCTTTCAGTTGTGTATTCTTGTGTTTTTATGCAGTTAAAACAAATGCCAGCATATGAAACTGCCGATCGAGAGGGCATGCCTTTAAAACATGTCTGTTGCGTATCAGGATTATACCAACTGCATTTTCCCAGAAATGTGCTAGGCAGCTCATTTGACTGCCTTGGGTGTTAGTAAAGAAACATTCCCCATCATTTCGTATATTTCGTGTGCTTATCGGAGCTTCACACTGGTTGACTGCTTCTTCGTTTCCAGTTGAGATGATCTGCTTCTCGCTTTTGAAAATGCAACGCTTCTGTACTTTGGTTTATTTATTGTTTTACAGCTTCTGATATTTTGGTAAACCTTTCCCAGTCTGTTCAACATTTATTAATCAGTTTTCATGTATTTGATTATTTAGAAATGTTAAGGTTAGAAAGATAAAATCCTCTCTCTGAGTTTGAGGCCAGCCTCGTCTACAAAGCTAGTCCAGGACAGCCAAGGCTACACAGAGGAAAACTGTCTCAAAGAAAAAACAAAGAAAGAAAGAGAGAGAGAAAGAAAAGAAAAGAAAGAAAGATAAAATCCTACGTCCCTCTGTGCAGAGAACTTGGATTCTAATCAGGAAACTCGTCTGAACAGTTTAGACAGCATGACTGACAGTATCCACATATGTGTAGAAAGGACTGTCTGAGTGAAACACCCAGGAGATTAAGGCAGTCAGAGGCCTGGATGGTTTAGGGAGGCTTCCTTGAGCTGTGACGGTATAGAGCGAGAGTGTGGATTACACTTGCTCTGTTAGGTACTGGAAGGCCACAATCTCAATGATCGAGCCATCTCTCCAGCCTCGAAGAGTACCATTCCTGATAGAAAACGCTTCAATAAACATTTTCTTTGTTTTTTTCTTTTCTCATCCATAGGCTGCCGCTGATGAATATAACAGACTAAAGCAAGTTAAGGGAGTAAGTATCTTTTATTTAATGTTTATAATGACTATGTCTTTCATGGGTATATACGCTGGTTATAGACAAAGGCCCTGTCATTTACATATGAGCATTATAGCTGATAAATTAGAATATTTTATTTTTTTATACTGATTTTCTAAGACCTTTTCTGAGCCAGGGTTTTACTGGCTGTCCCTGTCTTCTCTGCAGTTCAACTCTGTAGACCAAGCTTGCCTTGAACTCAGAGAGAGCCTCCTGCCTTTGCCTATCAAATGCTGGGGTCAAGTGCATGGCTTATCATACCCAGGTCTAAAATCTTCCTTTAAAGTTGAAATGTATCCGCAAACAACCACCCCCAGAAAAAGAAACATAACATATCAGGGTTGTTTCATAACCCTGATAACTCCCCATTTTTACTCCTTTCCTGTTCTTATACCACCTCCAACGTCATGAATTAGTTTTGCCTATCTTACAGTAACCTGTATAAAAAGAAATCATGGGCCTGGGGAGATGACTCATCCTTTAAGAGCACTTAGTACTCTTGTGGAATACTTGAGTTCAGTTCACAGCACTCACACGGTGGCTCACAACTATCTGTAACTGTCTGTTCTAGGGGATCCGATGCTTTTTCTAACTACCTTAACTCCTAAATACACATGGTTCACATATATACAATCAGACACACACACACACACATGCACACCCCAAAAATGTTTTCTAAAAAAAAGAAAAATCATAACATATATTATATATAAAAAATATATATATATACCAGTTCCAGGCTTTTTATGTGTGTGCTGGATATCTTCTCCTACTTTGCATAATGGGCATTTTTCTATCAAGCCACCTCCCCAGCTCAATGAATAATAAAATCTTTAAAATAATATCTAATAAATAGTCTCTTATTCTGTTCAGTTTCCCTTTCTCTAGCTGACTCATGCCACCAAATTTCTTGACTGATTCCTTTGAAAACTATTTATTGTGTATATGTATGAGGGTATGTATTATGTATGTATATATGTATGTGCATGAGTGCAATGGTACATGTGTGGAGTTCAAAGGGTACTTGTAGGAGTTGATTCTCTTTTCATCATGTGGATTCTGGGAATCAAACCCAGATCATAAGGCTCTGCTGCAGCAAGTACCTTTACCTCCTGAGCCATTTTAATGGCCCTTGATTTCTTTTTTTAAGATAATACATAATCCCAGTGGTCAGTAAGTTCTCGTGGTGGCCTAACACAGTTTTAGAAGTGAACATCTCCTTTGTAAAGATCAATTTGGAAAGTATCATTGAGGAAGTGGAACTATCTGCCTGTGTGGTTCGTGACAGTGCTCAGTACCTTACACACACTCATTTATGCTCAACAATTCTTTATCACTGTTTTCATACAATTTAGATGTTTCTCCCTTCCAACTCCTCCCAGATTCTCTCTTCCTCTGTATCCACCCACCCAACTCCTTGTGCTCTCTCTCTCTAAAGCAAACATTAAAAACAAAACAAAACAACAAAGGAAAATCAGAACCAAACAGGAAAAAAAAAATTGCCAAAACAAAACAAGAAGCAGTGGAGTTCTTTGTTGGGCGTTCTTTGCCCTGGAGTGTAGCTGACACACCCAGTGCTATTCAGGAGTCTTGTTCTTTAGTTTGTTTGCCTTTATGTGATTCGTTTTCTCCCTCTTAGTCTGCAGATTATAAGAGTAAGAGGAATTACTGTAAGCAGTTGAAGAGCAAGTTGTCCCATATCAAGAAGATGGTTGGGGACTATGACAGACGGAAGACTTAGGCAGACGCGTTCGCTGGAGAAGTGAGGCACGCCTGCCTGCCTGCCTGCCTGCCTGCCTGATGTCTCTGCAGTTCTCTTCAGAGGCCAACTCTCTTTGGACTGCAATCTGGGAAGTCAAAACTTTGTGACCATTACAAAGTTTCCATAGCTTTAATAGCATCAGTTTCACCCCATCAGTGTTGAAGCGTTTTATAAATGGCTTTTGATAACCGACTGGGCCGAACACTCCAGTTAGGCATCTTCCATTTTCAACATTGATTCTTGTATTAAGAATGAAATGTTGTTTGAGGTTTTAAACATAAAGAAAAGTCTGGTGTGACCTGTGTTGTGAACAATCCCATGCAGACAATGATGTCATAATACCCAAGTGTGTTCGTCCAGGTAGACCATCTCATTAATCTTCACGGCAGCCCTTCAAGTGACCATTATTTATAATCTTGTTGCTTTTGGTTTTTCGAGACAGGGTTTCTCTGTGTAGTCTTCTACTGTCCTAGACCTCACTCTGTAGATCAGGCTGGCCTCCAACTCGGAGACATCTGCCTGCCTTTGCTTCCTGAGTGCTGGGATTAAAGACTCCCACCAAACTGTCCCTGCAGTGACATCTCAATTGAAACTTCTTGCTTTCCAAAAGCAGTTTTGACCAAGTCTGTTTTATGACTATCAAATTACAGCGTTTCTGCCTCTGGTGTCTCCGCTATTGTGTACAATTCATTCAGCCACCTTTCCTACTGGTGTTTTTCTTACAGTGACTTTAACATAAATGATTAGGAATATTTTTGTCTTTGCTTTTTTTTTCTAATACTTAAGATTATGTAAAATTAACAAATGTGTGAAATTTAATACTTGTAAATACATATTTACTTTTGAAAGATCATTTGAAATCTGGGGTTAGAGTTTTGTGCATTTTTTAAAGTGCCCTTTATCTTTTATAGTTTACATGCTTTTATTTTTTTTGATAACCCACTAGACTTTTTCACTGTATCAGAGTATCCAATTGCATTCATAATTATGACTTGAATTGTATTTCACAGGAATGCTCAAGTTCTGTACATATTTTGTAAGGTATTAAACTGGATGTGCTCTTCCTATAATGTTTGACGTCATGAGCGCTGTTATATTCAGTTGTACAAAACTATACTCAAGAGTTTCAGTTGTGTGAACTATCTTGGGTGCTGTGCGAGTTGGTAATTCCCCAGTCCTTGGGCAGTGAACAAAATGAATATGTCTGGAAATGGGATAAAGTTCATAGACCAGCACAGTGCTTCAGTGTCTGTAAATCTCATGATGTTCTCTAAAAATTAAAATTCTTTTTAGTGGAATTAGTTAGTAAAATTAGTTGATAATACTGTATAAACCAAATTGACTGTGTACATTTAGCCCAATTTGGTCTGTTTTAGCTGAAAATGTTTTATATACTTTTCAGACATGTAAGTATATGTTTTTGTTTCTACAATTTTGAAATATTTTCCAACGATGAAATTTTAAATAATGTTTTTTGTAACACAGGTTCAGTTTTTTTCAAATTGGGGAAAATTTTTATTTTCTATATGCTGAACACAGAGCAAAAAGTATTTTCATAGCTTTTGGATTGACACCAAGTAGAAGGGATTGTCTGCAACCCCTTCACTGACATTTATGTTAATTAGCCCTCTGTTCCTGGATGTCATTGTGCTTTTATGCTGTTTTGTTTTGTTTTAGACAGAGTTTCACGAGGTAGCTTGAGCCTTGACGTGACGGTTGGTTCAGACTGACCTCCACTTTGCAGGTGGTAGGGTTACGGGTTCTACTCCATGCCTGGCTCATACTTAGGTTATGAGGCCAGCTTGCTGCTGTCCTCACAAAGCAATTGAGTGAAGAAAAGGAAGTGGTAGGAATCATAAAACTGTGCCATAAAATTAGATGTTGGGAGAAATAATTCCTTTTCATGCGGTGCTACCACTGCAGGCCTGCACTCAGTACCAGGGTATATGCGTCTGTTGGTGCTGGAATTAACTAGCTGACCTGACCCAGAGAAGCTGTTTAGGCAGTTCCTTAATGTAAACTAAGGGGTTAGATTAAACTTCAGAGGCTTCTTACATTCTGACCTGTGGTTCGCTTACCTGCTTTCTGCTAGTAAACTATCCTGAGGGCCCGTTTGTGAAAACGTAACCCTTCTTACGAAAGTTCCCTGCATACAACGATGCCTTATGTGTATGTGTTTGTGTGTTTAAATTATAAGTAGATAGGATCAATGTTTTCCATGTTGAAAAGTTGAAAATATTAGTATGAACATATATGAACTCACCCATCCCCCCAGGAAGAAGAAGCAATGGATGATGTTTTGTTGTATGTGCTTTCTATTTCTGAAATAAAGTCTAGTACTTACAGTGCATACTAGTCCAGTATTTGCAGTTACAGTTGTGTGTGCAGACGTACGGGATATCTCATTTAATGCTCATTAACAGTCTCTTGGCACGTCACCGTTCCTTATTCTCATCTTACGGATAAAGACATTAATAATTTGATACTCTGGTTGGCTCAGTCATATACTAGTGAATTTAGGTGACGGTGGAGTCTGAGCCTTTGGACTAGGAAATCCTGTTCTGTCATCCTAGCCTGACTGCTAAGTGCTGCATTATGTAATGTAGGGTTGCTCTGTCCAGAGTATCTTATTTTCGTTTTGAATGTGTTTGAAGTACTTTAATGTGAAATGCTTCATCTGAAATCTGTAGACTCTATAAAGACCTGAAAGGTTCAAGAACGGTTTAGGCAGAAGCCTGCTCTCACTTAGAATATGGGAATTCTTCATAAAATGACAGGTCTCTGCTTCAGCCTCAAGATAGAAGTTTCTTTTGTCTGAACTTTTTCAAAATTTTATATGAAGAAACAAGAATTAGAATTCATTCTTGATCTCCTGTCTGATTCTACCTATAATTTCTTACCTGAAAGTATAAATTAAGTAGGCAGCATTTGTTTATTTATTGAGAGATAAGGTCTCATTTTGTAGCTCAGGCTGGCCTTGAACTTGTGATCCTCCTTTCTCAGCCTCCCAAAGTGGGAGGATTACAGGATGTGTCACCACACCCAGTCATCTTCAAGTGTTTTATATTAACATTTCTCATAATGGGAAGAGATGAGCAAATGTAATTAAGTTGGGGTAGTCTTTTGAAAATACCATGCCAGAGAATTGCAATAATGCCTCTTTGGAGCTAAGAAAAATTAGTGAGTATATAACCAGAATGATTTTATGTGCTGGGACAAGATATGGAAGGGTGTGCCATCCTGGATGCCACAGGACCTGTGCCCTGCTGTTGCCTGTGTGTGTCCCATTTGTGATGTGCTGCTCTATCTAGCAAATTGTTTAACTCTCCTATACTTCTGTGCGTCAGGCTTTTGGTATCGCTGAAAGATACCTGAGCGCCACGAGTGTTAATGTCACTCCTATAATCCTGTCACTTGCCGAGGCAGGAGGATTACTTTGAGCTTGAGGCCAACCTGGATTACATGATGAAATTCTCAAAATGGGATGTGTGTGTGTGTG